CCTGGTGCCATCCTTGGGGATTATCCGGCGACATCCTGGTTTTTCTTGTCACAAGATGGGTGCTTTTTTTGGTTTTCATCCTTAGATCATTATCGCTTGTTTTCTATCCTCTAAGGAGGAACATCGGTTAATCTTAAACCTTTTGTGGAGACCAGAGAAACAAGATCATGAGACAATGTGGTGGTTAGCAATGGGGAGTAAATAATAGTGAGCCAGGCCTGTGCAGCCTCTTCCAGGCCCACCTCCGTGTTACCAGGCAGCTGGGCTGAACCCATGCTTGCACTTGGTATGATGGAGTCTTGGCTCCACAAATGACTGAGGGCTCTGCCAACTTTTTCCAGATCTTCCTTCAGAAATAATTAAGACTGAAGATTAAGCCTAGGTCCCTCTGTCACCAGGGAGGACCAAAGGCCTTATGTTACAATTACAGTTCAATGAGGAAAACTTTTGGGTCTGAGGTCACTATTATTGAGACACTTGCCCACGCCTGACTATGGATAAGTCCCTTTGGGGCCCCTACAAATTCTTATTGTATGTATTGATGATGTTGATGTTATTAATGTACACCTTTGTAAACTTTTGTCTCCAAGTCCTCATGGGAATTGCTGCAGTTAGGGCCGTTTTAGTGGGGCACACAGAAACTGTGACATGGGCTATAGCTAATAGCCTGGCCCTTCAATATGGCCACTGACAACCCTCGGACTGACATATAAAGTAAGCCCCTATGGAAATGAGACGTCTGGATGAAAACAAAACAAAACAAAATCAGTTCCGCTCCTGATAAGCTTTTGTTACTGGTGTGGATGGTCACCAGAAAAGCCACTATGCTGAAAGGGGAAAACAACGAATGAGCAGGCCACTCTTGCCAGCTGACTGGAGAGGCTGAAGCATTGTCTGCTCCAGAGCAAAGAGATGTGCAACTGACCACCTCCTGGATTTAAGAGAGGATGGTCCATGGATATTCACACACCATCCTGGAGTGGGCCTACATGCATGGACTGCCACTGTCATCAGAAAATGCCGGACAGCATAGAAAAGCTGACCTGCCCACAAGACCCTGGCCAAGGCTAAAACTTGTGCAGGGACAGATCCCTGAGCCAACAGGCCAGGACGTTCTCGGCTGGTAAATCATATCTGGGCCTCTTATCCTATACAGAGGCTTCCACTGGATCCTGAATGAACTCTTTGTGTTGTACATCACCCCCAAACCATAGGGGCAACTGAGCACCTCAGTGTCCATGCTTAAATGGCTGATGGGAGGGGACAAGACAACCCCAGCCTGAACTATGCGTCTCAGGCAAGCAGTTTGGGGTCTCAATGCAGCAGTTCCCTGCAAGGGCATTTCTTATTTGTGCCGTGTATTTGATCGAACTGTCTATTCGATAAAATGTGTTTCTTTTGTATACAACTGTTCCTGACAAATGATATGGGTTCCCACAGAGGTCACTGCCTCAAGACTAGGACAGACATCCTGGGTGGCTATACCCGGGCATCCCTCACCTCAAGTGCCACAGGAAATAGCGGGGGAGGGGGGAATTGTTAACGTTGTCTCTTTTTTTTTTTCCCCCAGATTATCACAAGCCCCTCATCCATGGGCCCCAGTGACACAGGTTTTTGCTGGAGCTATGAATCAGACCAACTGTTGGCTTTAACATTTGAACCAAGATGACAAGTCATCTCCCCACATTGTTCCAGCTGATCTGTCAACAAAGGAGAACACTACCTGGACCAACTGAATGTGTAACCAGGTGTTCTAAGGAGATCATGTGGTAACTGAATACGGTGGACACCACTAATCATGGAAAACATCGTTTAAAGTATGAAAGCTGCCTGCGGGGTGTGCTCCAACTTTAGTAGGAAATTTCTCTCTTTGTGTTAAAAATGTAAACAGCATGGAACTGGCTGGTTTCACTCTGAGAATGGTACTTTTGAGATTGAGTTTGATGTTACTGTGGACATGGAGAACTTGCAGAATATGACCAGGTGGTCCAATGTACATTGACTTTTGTATTACTTGTACTGAAATGCGTACTGTTCATATGATGTCATGTTGGGAGAAATATGCTGTTTTTACATAAATGAATCAGGACATGTTATACATACATAAGACTGGACAAATGCAGCCCTTTGATCTGTTCAGTTAGTTTGGGCAAAGCCACAACTAGGGTGGCTGGTTGGGATCTCTCCTCCAAGCAGGCCTGATCAACCTGCTGGGGACAGTGCTACTAGTCAGCCTCATTAAATGCTGCCTCAAATATTACACAGATATAACATCCACCAGAATTATGTACCAAACCACGGACATGTAACTCAACGACCAGAATGGGTGATGGGCATGCCAGGACTTGGTACTGCTTTGCTTCTTTTCCTGGCGCCGTGATGGGAGTCGGGGTGGACTGTTGAGGGAATCGTCTGCCTCTACGTCTCCCATCCAGGCTGCCTAAGTAAAAGCCTTGGGTCCAGAATATTCTTTGAGAAGGAGGCTGCGAACTGGGTTGCTTTTTCTCTCCCAGTTCCTTCTTCTCAGAGAAACTTCCCCCTGTTCTGGGCACACAGTAACTTTCTCTGTCTCTTGCACATGCACACACACCATACGGCACCTGTATCATGATGAAAACTGAGTGTTGCATATACAGCCCTGATGCCTCTAAAAATGTGTCCTTGGCTTTGCAGGACTTGCAGCAACACATTACCGCTATCGAACATGATGCCACTGACCCCATCTCCAGCCTCCCATCCACCTGGCGGACAGGCTTCTGGGTGATACTGGGATTCCTATGACTATGTCTTTTCCTGTGTTACGGGTTATACTGCATACGTGGTCTGCTTTTGCAGGGCTCCTCTGTATACCAAGTCCGAGGGCCGTCACGGAAGACGAGGTCAGTAAGATCGTGAGGACGCTAGGAGGGTATGCAGCGTGGCGTGTAGGGTAATGCTGTTCACCTGTATGCATCCCATCCTAATGGAGGCAGCTTTGCTCTTCCCTGAAGCATGCTGGGGATGAACCTGGGCTAAGGACAAGGCCGGGTGTGGTGTGATTGGTCTGGTGGCCAAGGCTGAGGAATGTCTTATTAACAAAAAGAAAAACATCTGGGCCTGGATGTGTAGTCCCTGGAAGCGCTGGCTGCCCAGGGACTTGGAAGAAAAACAAATAAGTTTTAGCCCCAGCTGGAACTGCATATAAGCTTGTGTCCCTTGCTAGGCGGTAGCGGAGCGCTACTCTGGTCCCGCCGCTGCCCTGGACTGTCCTGTACTTAAGTTCCCCAAGTAAACCATTTGTCCTGATCGCTGGTTCTGGAGTCTTTCCTTGGGTGCGGCTGACCTTTGGTTCAGACGCTTCTGGGTTGTTACCCAACAGTTTGGTTTTGGGGAGATGGAAACTGTTCAAAATTAAGTGGTGAGGTGGGAGGTTGCTTCATAAAACTCCGGTCCTGCAAAAAACTGTTCTTAAGGGAAGCTGATTGGGTTGCTGTGAGAATAAATTAAGACAACAATATGGGATTAAATACACTTCAAAATATATCCCAATCCCATTTCTTCTCTTCATTTTCACAAGTACCTCCCTGGTCCAGCCACCATCCTCTCCTGCAGCAGCATCATAACATCTCTTGTTGCACCTCTTCCAACATCATCGTAACTAGTCTCCCGGCTTCTGCCTCTGCCCCCGAAGACTATTCGCAACTCAGCAGGCAGAGGGATCCTAGTGGAAAGGCAGGCAGATCATGTCCCTCCTCTGCTCAAAGCTTTCCAACGGCTTAATCTCCCCTACGGTAAAAGCCAAAGTCTTCAGATAGCCTACAGGACCTGCCTGAGCTACCACCCCTTTCCTTTGCTGACTTCATCTTCTTCCACCCGCTCTCCGGTCAAAAGCATTGGCCTCCTTACAATGCTCTCTGAGCATGTCGAACCGTCTCTTGCCTCAGACCTTAGCACTGGCTGATCCCTCTGCCTGGAACACTTTTCCTCAGATACTTCATCATCTCCTTCGAGTCATTAGATGTCACCTTCTTAAATGAAGCCTTGCCTGAAAGCGGTATTTAAAACCTCTCCTCCCATGCTTTCGTTCCCGTGCTTTGTTTCTTTCCATAGCACTTACACCTTTTATTATACAAATAATATGTATTATATATCATTTCTGCTAAATATCATAATAGATAATATACATAATGTAGTATATAGTATAACTCTTTGCTGTCGAGTCAATTCCGACTCATAGCGACTCTATAGGACAGAGTAGAACTGCCCCATAGGATTTCCAAGGAGCGGCTGGGAGATTTGAAGTGCTAACCTTAACTGCAGCCAAACTCTTAACCACTGCACCACCAAAAATATACAGTATGTTATATGTAAGTGATACATGTATTACTCTGGGGTCCTGGTGGTGCAGTGGTTAAGTGCTATGGCTGCTAATCTAAAGGTATGGCAGTTCAAATCCCCCGGCTGCTCCTTGGAAACCCTATAAGGCAGTTCTACTCTGTCTTATAGGTCAGTCGGTTCTGACTCATAGCGACCCCATTACAACAGAAGGAAACACTGCCTGGTCCTGCTCCATCCTCACAATTGTTGCTATGTTTGAGCCCAATGACACCTTTGAATTATGGTGTTGGTGAAGAATATTGAATATACCACGGACTGCCAGATATACAACAGGCGTTCAGTAAATATCGGCAGGAACAACAAACGCACAAAGAATGAATAAATAAACGAGCCCGTCTGCCTGGGCTGTTTTGGCCCCTCGGAGCCCCCGTGGGGTCGTGGAGCGCGGGCCCAACGCGCCTGCGCATGGCGCCCCGCCCGCGCGCGTAGGTCAGTGTCCCGTGGCCGCACTCCTAAGCGAGGCGCGCGCTCGGCGGAGGGTTACAGCAACCCGGGCGGGGCATCATAGGGCCCTCTAGTGGGCGGGGCTCCAGTGGGTGGGGCTCAGGGGTGGGCGCGCCAATGTCGCGCGTGGCGCCGGGGGCCGTCTTAGTCCGCGCCGGTCTGCGTCCCGCCACTGTCGGCCGGCCACCTCCCCTGCCGCCACGCCCGGTCCCCGACCTCGCTTCCGTAGCCCCCCGCGCCCTCCGCGTCCCCTGAGCCACAGCCATGTCCAAGGAGCGGCGCATCCGGCGGGAGGAGATCATGGAGTGCAAGGTGATGTGGGAGCCGGCCAGCAAGAAGAACACGCAGATGGACCGCTTCCGGGCGGCCGTGGGTGCCTCCTGCGGCCTGGCGCTGGGTGAGTGACCTGGCCGAGCGGCCCTCCTGCCTGCTCCCCTGTCTGTGGGGGCTCACCTCCTCTGCCTTTAGGATGCAGGGCCCCCTCCTGACCCCGGTATCTTCGCCTGCATGTGGGGCTGCCCTCTCCTGGGAGGGTCAGCCCTGTGGCCGTGGGACCCCTACCCCATTGACTCTGAGTTCTTCCCTTTCTCTTACTTGTGACATGCCTTCCTGTTTCCTATGTTTTGGCCTCCAGCCTATAGGGGGCTTCCTTTCTGACTTGGCTGGGCTCTTTCTGACTTGTGGCTCAAACCCTGTTTGTGGGGGTCACTTTCCAGCCCACAGAGCCATGTGCTGCTCCTTCCGACCCCAAGGCTGGTCTTTCTAGAAGGCGAGCCTGAATTTCCTACATTTTAGAGAAGGATGGTCAGGTAGGAGCCCTCGTTTGGGACTGGGGTAGAGACCCTTCCCCTCATGTTTAAACTCCGGCCCCCCAAACACAACCTAGTGGAGGATCCTCCTTCCAGCCACCGCGTTGGCCTTCAGAAACCACGGGCTGGGTGTGTAGATGGGCAAACGAGGCCCCTTTGCTGGGCAGAAGCACTCCCTGGCTCTCCTTTCCAAGCTCTGGTTGGGTTGCCCCACTGCCTGCTGGACTTCCCCTCCCCATGGGTGTCTTCAGGGATTTTAAACTCCTTATGGGCTTTTCCCTTCTCACCACTGCAGGGACCCCCTCATTTCTCTTGGTGGCATCACCATCTTTAGTCAGCCACCGGAAATGGAGAACTGAGTCATCACCCTTGTCCAGAGTGTCCCCCCCAGTGTCATCACTCTGCTGCACACCTTTTTCTCATTCCCTGCCAGCACTTCTTGGGCCCTTAGTCCCTGTTCCCTGCACACTAGTCTAGTCTTCTAACTGGATTTCTTGCTTCCTGCTTTCTTTCCTCTACCTTTAGTACTTCCTGCATGTCTTGGCACAGTAATCGTGAAGCACGGGTCAGACTTTGTCACTCCTTGGCTCAGAAGCTGTCAATGAGTCCTTGTTGACCACAGGTTTGCAAACAGTACCCCATGGCTGCTTCCTAGGCCCTCCATTGCCTGGCGGGCATCAGAGCTTCCACAGATGAACCGCCTCCCCCCATCCCTCTTCTTCCCTCACTCTCGCTAGAGTGTGAACACCTTGGGACAGGTTCTGTGTGTTGTTACTCTCAGGGGCTCCTGTAATCCCTTCCCCAGGACCTTCCAGCTAGTAGTTGGGAAAGAAGGTGGTAAATGTTCTGGATTTAGGGAGAACAGGCTTGAGCCCCGGAAGAGCGAGGAGGCGGTGGAGTGGGGCTACCTTCTTCGGTGTTCTTGCTGCAGTTCCTTCTCGGTTTCCTCTGCCAGCCGTGACACTGTTGTTTTGGTGCCCGTCTAGCCCTGATGCATTATGAAGTGATCTCACAGAAGGGCAGCCCTGTGAGGCAGGTGACGCTTCCTTATTCCATGGGTGGTGGCCTAGAACAAGGGAGCTGTAACCTGACTACCTGGAAGTTGAATCTGTCTCCCTCTCTTCCTAGCTGAGTGATCCTGAGGAAGCCATTGAGTCTCCTGAGCCTCGGTTTCCTCATCTGTGAAAAAGGGATAAGAGGACCAGCCTCATGGGTGTGAGGCTGATGGGATGATCCTCACCCAGCACCCAGCTCTGCACCCTGCCAGTGAGGGTTGCTCAGTAACATGAGGGAGCATTGCTAGCTCCCAACTCTGCCTGCCAGCTGCTCGCCGTCCTCCAGGGTTTGCAGACTGATGGTCCAGGGACTAGATTCCATCTGCAAACATACTTCATGTGGCTTACGCTCTGTTGAATGCCTGTGCTTAAAAGTTGGGAGACCACGTGTGAAAAGCAGGATTTCCAACTTCTTTTGAACACCCAAAGGCCTGTAATGTTGGGTCTGCACCCTAGTGGCAGCTCTCAGTGGGAGCTGGGTGGGGTGGCCCCTTGGGCTGGGTGCCAGGAGGTTGAGAGCGTGCTTCCTGCCCTCTCCTCCTCCTCCCACTCCCAGTTGTTCATACCCACCTGCTTCTGTCCTTTCCACATGCCTGGCCCCAGAGGCATTTGGACTCACATTCTTGCTTTAAGATCCAGCTCAAACTCTGCTCTCTCTTTGAATGTTTCCCCTGTTTCTCCCTGAGGTGGATGAGAGTCTCCTCTGTCGGAGTGCATGTAATTTGGACTTTTCGTTTATTTGTGAAGATTCTTTCTGCTTGAAAACAGTATCTGTGAACTCGCCCCCTCTCCCCTGACAGTAGCTTGCGCGTAACATGTACAGTAAGGGGCATCGCTGTTGGCTGGACGTGCACATGGAGCAAGGCACGCATTGACCTTGGGCCTTGCTCAGCCCGGGAGGATGGGTGGAGAGAGTGGCCCCAGCCTGGCTCTGCTCCCCAGGCCACCTGGACAGGAGTTTCAGGAGGTACAGGGCCTTGGTGGAGTTAACCTACTCCCTTTTCCACCAGCAGAGCTGTATGCTGGTCTATTCCTCTCACTGCTTCCATGAGAACTAACTTGAGGGCTCCCTATGCACCCCGGGCCAGGCCTCTTCAGGATGCAGACTCCCTCAGGTGCAGCGCCCAGCCCCCATGCGTGATTGTGATTGACTTGAGGTCTCTTTCTTTTGGAAGGCCCCCGGGAAAATGCTGCAGGAACCAGCACCTGTAACTGGGGCAGGGGAGGGATTCCAGCTTCAAATTACGTGCTTTTTTTTGAGGACTGTGCCAGGTGTCTTTCTGTAAACCACAAGCTGCAAGTCATCTGTAGGTGCAAGCAGCTGGGTGGAGTTTGCCAATGGACTGAAGTTCCAGTCTCTGTCCTCGAGTTGCTAAGTGTAGGTGGGGGAGAAAGCCCACGCAGAGATAGCAAATGCCGTGCCAACTGCATGGGGCAGGCAGGAGCTGGCATCCTGAGGACTCCATTGTGCACTGACCTTCGGGGAATGTGGTTAGAGGGGCTGACAGCACCTTTAGCGGAGATTTGAAGGTAGTGGTGGTGGTGGTAGTTGCTTCTGACTCGTGGCAAGCCCATGTACAGCAGGACCAAATGTTGTCTGCGCCTGCGCCATCCTCACGATCGCTGGTATGTTTGAGTCCATTGTGGTGGCTATTATGTCCGTCTCCGGAAGAATTTCCCTCATCCTCTACTTTACCAGACACGACGCGCTTTTGTAAGCCAGTGATCTTTCCTGATGACGTGTCCAAAGTAAGCGTGCCAAAGTCTCGCCATTTTTGCTTTTAAGGAACATTCTGGTTTTATTTCTTCTAAGATTGACTTATTTGTTCTCCTGGCAGTCCATCGGAAATTCAATATTCAGGCTGGTCAGAATTCTCATAGGTGCAGGCAGGAGCAGAGTGTGCAAACCCAGAACCCTACAGGGACCAGGCAGGTGCTGGAAATCTTCGTGATAGTTAATATTTAGTGAGAGGTGTCTGTGCCAGGCCCTGCTCTGGCGCTTTATATGTGTCAACTCATTTAATCCTCACAACAATTGTGCAAAGTAGGTGCTAATTTTGTTCCTGTCCCCCCAGCTGAGGAAACTGAGGCCCAAAGCCTCAGGTAAGGCCTCACAGCTGTAAGTGTGGAGCTGTAGTCTGGCTCCAGAGTACATACTCTTAACCTCTGTGTTCTATTGCCTCTTGCCTTAGGGTGGAGGGGCCAGGTGGGGCAGCTGTTACCCAGCTTTAGTTGATTGTTGTCATGTGGCATGAACAGTGCATTAGTTATCTTTTGCTGTGTAACAAATCACCCCAAAACATAGCGGCGTAAAACATCAGTAAACATTTACTGTCTCACAGTGGGTCCGGAATTTCGGAGTGGCTCAGCAGGGTGGTTATGGTTCTGAGTCTCTCAGGACATTGCAGTCAAGCTGTTGGCTGGAGCTGCAGTCATCTGAAGGCTTGCCTGGGGCTGGAGGACCCACTTCCAAGATGACACACTCATATGGCTAGTAAGTTAGTGCTGGTTGTGGGCAGGAGGCCTCACCTTCCTGACACGCAGGACTGTTTAAGTGTCCTTACAACATGGCCACAGGCTCCCCCAGAGCAGATGATCCAAGAGAGCCAGGTAGAACCTGCAGTATCTTTTTTATTGTGATGAAGATATGCACACCAAAACATTTGCCAACATAACAACTTCTACACTTACAATTCAGTGACGTTGATTACATTTTCCATGTCCTGGTGGCGTAGTGGTTAAGCACTCGGCTGCTAACTGAAAGGTCGGTGGTTTGAACCAATCAGCTGCTCTGCAGTGGAAGGATGTGGCAGTCTGCTTCTGTAGAGATTAAACCAAACCAAACCCAATGCCATCAGGTTGATGCCAACTCATAACAACTCTGTAGGACAGACTAGAACTGCCCCATAGGGTTTCCAAGGCTGTAAGTCTTTTTTTTTTTTTTTTTTAATTTTTCCCATACAAAAATTTGTACATACATTGTTATGTGACTCTAATTGCTCTGCCCATACTGTGACAGTACACTCCTCCTTTCTACCCGATTCCCCATGTCCATTCAGCCAGCTCCTAACCCTCTCTGCCTTCCCATCTCACCTCCGGACAGAAGCTGCCCGTTTAGTCTCTTGTATCTACCTGAGCTAAGAGGCACACTCGTCACGCATATCAGTTTATGTCCCACAGTCCAGTCCAAATCCCTGTCTGAAGAGTTGGCCTCGGAAATTGTTTTAGTTCTGGGCTGATAGAGAATCCAGGGGCCATGCTTTCCGGGGTTCCTCCAGTCTCAGTCAGACCATTCTGCTTTTTTACTAGAATTTGAGTTCTGCATCCCACCTTTCTCCTGCTCCATCTGAGACTCTGTTGCGTTCCCTGTCGGGGTGGTCATTGGTGGTAGCCGGGCACCATCTCGTTCTTCCGGTCTCAGGCTGAAGCAGTCTCTGGTTTATGTGGCCCTTTCTGTCTCTTGGGCTAATACTTTCCTTGTGTCTTTGGTGTTCTTCATTTTCCTTTACGCCAGGTGGTTGGGACCAATTGAT